ACATTATTCTCATTTTCCTCTATTCCATTCCGCATTATTTTTTAATTTTTTTTTTATTTTTCCCATAAAAGAGATAAGATAATATGCCTGTGCATATAGACCTCCTAATCCAACCCAGGTATGCGACCAGCTCCCACAACCAAATTCCGTCATTTTAAAAATTTAGTGTCGTGACCAGGATTCGAACCTGGGTTACTACGGCCACAACGTAGGGTCCTAACCACTAGACGATCACGACTTACATTTGAGGCCGCTACACTTAATAAATATAAACAGAATCAGTTCTTTCCTGGTCTTGGGTTTTGCCGCTGATCGCGCGCCCGAGCGAGCGAGCAAGCGAGAGAAAGAGAAATACGTATAGTGAGAGAGAGAGAAAGTAGTCCGGGTGCAGCAGCAGCGACTACCGCGCAGGCTTGCTTGCTGACGAAAGTAGCGCCAGCGCCACGTCATGCTGCGCCAACGCTCGCTCGCGCGGCGTCGCGACGCGTGACGCGTGACGAATGATCCAGGTTCAATCGATGGACCCGCGGACGCAAACAGGTTCGAGATGATTAGCGCCTTCCAAACGATCAAACTCACGGCATCGATGGCGATGTTGACCGTTGATCAGTGGCGATCATACAATTGGACTACACTTTACACTTGAGAACTACAATCTCTGGTTTGATGCTACAACAATGTATACGTCATTATTTTCCCTATGCACATAAGCGCTTTTACGGATGAGCCAAAAATTGCAATTCCTAATTGCAAAATTTTGTCCAAAAAACTAAAATATTGGGTTTCGTTCATTTAATTTTTTATGAAGTAATCGATAGCTGAACTGCCAGAAGCAGATTTCGTACTGTATTGAAGGAGGCTGCCTTGCCCAAAATTGATGGTTTTTAATAGATTTAAACGGCAAGGAAAAATAATGCTGCCAGCTTTCGACGATTACCTTTGCCATTTACGCTCAAAGGTCATCAGTAAAACAATTTACGATTATCTAAAATTGCAACTCTCAATTCGGAAATGACCCATCTCGGAAAAATGAAATTTTTCAGGAGACAATAAAAAGTAAAAACTGTGTTGCAGCCACAGCCAGAAAAGGAGTGTTCCTACGCCAAAACTGAACATCGTAAAAACCCGATTTGGGTCGTTTTTGAACTGAGATTTTCATTCAACGTCACTCTTGTTTGGAGATATTTTCTTTTCTTTTTCTTTTTCTTCTGTGTGTGGCCTAATTGCAAGGAATATGGTCCGAACTACACTGATTGTGAAGTGAGAACAAACTTTAGTCTGATTGTTTGGAGCACGATTAGGATAGACTGTTTTATGTACCCAAATTCTGCGTAGCCATGACCGTCGCGAGAGCACAATTAGTATTTCAGGCGTTTTTTAAAAATTATTTAGTTCTTGAGAGACTTGCTTGTTTTTTTATCCATTTTTTATACACAGCGTATCTTTGTCCTAAAACATGTACTTTTTTAACTTCAAAAATTCCAACACTGACTCCTGAGAGAAAATTGTGATTCTACTCATTGATCCTTACCTAAAGGTTAACCTCTCACTCATTGTACTTTTCTATCCCCTCCACTTATTGGCCGAGAGGGGCGCCAAATTCGCTTCTTAATTTGCATGTGATTTTGTACATCCAGCAGAGCGGCACCGTGCGTAGAGGTCATTTAAATCAGAAATTTAAAAGTAGCTCCATTGTAAAAATGGGAAAGAACCGATAGTCGATTAAATATGCGAGCACGAATAACACTCACGGGCTATCCCGTGAAGAACATATAATTTGTAGAATTTTTAAGTTTTCAGGATCGGAAATTTATTTGTAGATGAATCCACTATCGTGAAAATTTTCAAATTTTGACCCAGATATTTTAATTAGTCCATATAAGGCGCCGGGTTGAACCGCGAGGCGCTGGGACTACGGCACAGCAAACTCTTCAAATTTTTGCCGATGCTGTGTGAAGAAAATGTAACTTTTAATCCATTAAATTGTTTTCAGCAGAACGTCAGTGGTGAGTTTGCGATCGGTAGGGTGGCTAAAAGCATTAAAATCTACGGTTAATGTGGTACACAGAGGGATATAAACTTACTGTGCGAACGAAGGCTCCTCAGTTCCTCAGCTGAGTCTTTTCATGAAACATCCTCTCAAATTCTCGGTTCGTTTTCGGAATACTTGTCGCAAGAAGGATTACCGTAAATATTTTGTTAAATGACTTCGTGAAATTTGTAATTAAAGTAATTCGTTCTAACTTTAAGTACTGTGTATCTATTCGTAAAGTTTACTTTTACCGTTTATTGCATAGATTTTTTAATGCTCTTAGGTTCCTCCCGCTGCGCCGATAGTTTGATGATGTCAGTAACTCGCGTCCATTTTAATCATAATTTGTCGATCACTCTCAATTTGATTAATCTTTGGATGATAAGTAAAAATCATGATAAATATGAAGCTTTTTTCCTTGAATTTGAGACAAAACTTGTGCGCATGTTTTCATAAATTGTTCTTATTCTTGCTATAAGGAAAATATTTGCGTCTGCAATTGATTCCATCGATTTCGCAAACCAAATCCGACAGTGATAACGTTACAAACTCGAACATATTGATACATTGAACTGTACAGGAATTTGAAATGGTTTACTTCCTCGCAGTATGTGTTCAGGTAAGCCTCAAAGTGTCAGAGAGCAAACTCAGTGAGGCACAATTTGTAGCCGCAACTTTTACAAATATTGTATGTTTAAGTTTCATTCAAATCAGGTTCCAACCTGAGAAGTACACCGTTTTAAAACCGATTCTTCTATCCAAAGTAAAGAAATGTAATTAGGATTCAGAGTTCAAACATCAAAATTACATCGTGATATAGATCTCTCAAAATTTTGTTACAAAAATAATTTTCTTTAGTTCTTTTTTTCCATTTTCATTCTGAGTCCCCTGGCGAAAATTGGCGATAGGAGCTGTGTTTCAAAATACCATAGGAGTGCTTATAGCCGACTGAAGAAGGCGATAGAAAATTATATAGCTGGCTGTAGAAAGTGGAAAAAATCATACGGCCGGGCTACACGAAGCGATAAAAAATTATACAGCCGGGCTATAGTTCCTATCGCCGGGCTTTACATTTTATCGCCTGGCTGTTGCTTTTTTGCCATCGGCTGTAAAAGGCTATAAGAAATTTTGTAGAAATTCATGTGCTATGTAAATCCTTAAGTTTGTACGGAATCACCTTAATATTTACTAAACGCACATTATATTTTCCTTTACTACCTACATATTTTTTTTCATCAATTAAAATGAGAATAATCCATACATACACAGAGTGTGCAAACATTTCAAAGCCATGAGTTGAAAAACACTGACTCAACGAGATTAAATATTAGAGCCTAACACAAAGCTGAGCGGCGGCGCACTGGCGCCTACAAACCTAACAGGGATACTTCACGCATTGCGCAATGCGTGATGTATCCCTGTTAGGTTTGTAGGCGCCAATGCCCGTTTCGCGCTGGCTGCCCGCCCGCCGCGTCGCGCCGCAGCTTACCACGGCGCTTGAAGCAACTATTTCACATCAGAGGTATTGCACAGTATCATACGAAACTGAAGGCGCTCCAACATATTAGGAATGGCAGGCATCCTTCAAAAGTACGGAGCTTTCCTCTGAAAATAAATCAAGATACCACGGCCCAAAAAGAGAGCGGTAGGCCAAAAACTCACTAAGTCCTTAGTCCTAGCTGGCGATAAAGATACACTTTATCGCCAAGCTGTTGCTTAATCGCCATCGTCTATAAAAGGCTATAAGGAATTGTGTTGCCGGCTATAGAAGCTATTGGAAATCTTACAGCCGGCTGTAGGTCTATGGTATTTTGGAACACAGATTCTACCGCCAATTTTTACCAGGGTCCGCATTGATCGCACGGTTAAAAGGTGAACTTCACCTTTCCCAAGACTCAAATTACCCCCGAAAATGTGCACGCAAAATATCTGTTGATTTTTTTTTTATCCAAGAAGACTAGAGGCTAAGAGAGAGAAATTGAGCTCTTGTATTTTGTTTTCCTACGATTTAGTCCTTCGTATTTTGGATAGAGCTCAGAGAGTATCTTTGTGCTTTCTGAATTTTCTTTTGGGAGAGCAAATTCACAGGGAAAACTTTTTGGAAATTTCTTCAAGTATACTCACTTGTATTAGTGTGTCAAAAATATTCGCGCGCAAGAAGAACAGCACACTGAGCCACTGTACCCTGAGCAATTACCACGTCCTCTCGCACACAGTTCAATCTCAGCCTCCGCTTGATGCTATAGGCAATACGAGCTCCCTTAAGTCGAAATAGTGGTATCTGCTATATCTACTATAGAGTGATCTACGCGTCGCGTCGCATTGACTTTTTCGCTTACTAGTATTTTGATTTATAGCAATGCAGAAAGGATTAAGTTTTCTCCGCATGTAACTCTCTCTCATATTTTATTTCTCAAAAGGGGAAAAACTTGTGTGAAATTATTTTGGCTTGGTGTAAATATCTTTAGTCAAGTTCTATCAATATTCTCAACACTGTTAATCTTCTTCATCAAATGAAAAATAAAAACAAAAACGAAAAAAAACACATATAGTTATAAACTTCTTCATCATATAGTACAATGACTGTATAGTCAAGTACAGTCACTGTATCGTGTGTAAAAACCCAAAGTCAGGATAACCGGCTCACCCAATATTCTACCGACGTTTTTTAGCTAAGATTATAAAGGTAAATATATTGTAAATTATTGTAGTCTCCTATGAAAAAAAGAGGAAAATGAAAGAAAAAAAACTTTCTTAACTTCAAATTTTTCCGTAAAACTTCATACCTTAGTGTTCGTCAGTTCTTCTGTATAATAATAAAATATGAACGTAGATTTTGGAAAGTTGTAATTAATTTCGTGTTTTCAGACTTTGGCCGTCGATGTTTTCTATATTCTTCTATTTGAGGCTGTCACTCTGATAACAACGTATAATATAGAAAAGGCTTAAAAATTGAGTTACAACATACCTTCTAATTCTTTGTTGCGAGCCAGCAAAGCCAGAAGAACATCGGGACTATGTGGTTGGGCAGTAGTAAATTGGTGTAAATGAGACAGTATATTCGGGGCACCAGTTGATGTGGGGGGTATTCCACCATGATGAACGATTGTTGACATCATCAGCTCCACGCTCATGAATCAGGAACTTTTATCGCCGATTAGTTTTTGATAAAAATGGGCAGAGTAAAATTCAGTTTTCCGTGATACATCAGTTATGACAATAACAGCTTTTAAAATCTTTGGTTTGTGTAAGAATATAATTTTCATACATCCACAAATTTTTTCCCTTAAATATTTCACAGTTCTTTGATTCCTGTTTCTGTATTGCCTATCGTTCCTCACCGATGAAAGACAAGGCAGTAGCCGAGGAAATATTATCTTTTTTATTGTTAAATTTGATACTAAGCACCAATCACAATTTATCATCAACAAGAATATTGCCTATTTTTTCATCATCAAGCTGCTATTTTTATCGAGACATCTATGGTAGTAGCATCGTTGTCAGGAAATCTATTTGATGCTTTTCTTATTTTAAACCTGTATTTAATTTTAAAATAATTGTACATCTCATCGGCTATCTAGTAGTTCTCAAACGAATTGGACGGCTAAAGAATTTGAATTGAGAGCTCTTAATCGAAAATATAGCATCGTTTACTCTATGGATGAGTATTTACTTTTTTTTACCGAAAAATTCTTTACCCCGCACATTTAGCGCTGAAGTACCAGACGCATAACAGAATAATCACTTTTTACGAGACTCTACCGCATAGTTTTCCTTCTTCTTTCGCCTTGAAAAAGCACCTTTTTTAGTGTCCTATACGCGCACTGTTTTTTTCACAGTCCCACGGGATCAGATCACACTTGAAACACCGTACTTGGAAACTTCCACGACCACAGGATCTGAGGTCAGCCACTGCTTTTCCTAAAATACCACTCCAGCGCTTAAAGTGAAAAAAATTTAACCGCACAAAGTTGAGGGAGAAAAATCCGATATCGAAGAACTTCAAACAAAATATCGAAATAATTATTGAATCGGTAAAAACGAACGCGCGCACGGACAAGTTTTCCCGGAAAACCCTGAAAAAACGCGAAACCAATATACTGCTTCATAAGTGTTCGATATTTACTGTGTGTTCGGGGCAAGACTCGTGTTTTTAATTTAATATTGGTTATGAATCGTCTCAAAAACCGGGTAACAGGGTTTGCGATGCACGCACAGTCCAGCTTTAATTTGTCTAAGTGGTGAGAGAGACGGAGCTATAGGAAGATATTCATCCCTTTGGCCGCCTTACGACGCCCTGTCGCCCTGCGCCGCCATCGCTTCGTCACGTGATCCCTTTCCGACGCATGAGCGTCCTCGCCGCCCTTTACCACCCCCGACCGCCCCTTTGGCGCTCCCGCCATTAATGGAGCCACCGACGCACTCCCCGATTCTTCCCGTTTTCATTTTCCTTTTTCTTCTGCCCTCTTCATCAAACAGGTCCTTTCCATGGTAAAATGCCCAGTATTTTATAATGTGCACCGCTCGCTCTTCAGTTTCCCTGACTCCGCGTCTTTTCGCGCATTAATCAATTCTCCGTCGGGCGATTTTCAACCGATGCCAAGTAATTGTTGCTCCATGAGAGAGACATTACTTTCGAGCGCTGCTCCGTTCGCGGATTTGTTACGAAAAATTGAATTTGAGACCCACGAAGACGGAGAATAGCCGCAGATGGAATTCCGTAAGGGATGCCATTATGCGTTGGATCTTGAGCATGAATAATGGAGTTGTAACATATTCTTGGAAGAACATAATCACACTGTGAAGATCGAACATAACACAGATTTGATTCAATATGAGAATTCGATCATAATAGACCGATTCAGTGGCTACGTCATACGGGCCATATCGCAGTTTGATGGTTACGTTTATTTTTTTACTTTCAGCAAAGAATATGTTGGAATTGTTGCATTGAATAGATATGGAATTTTTTTGACATTTTAACCATATTTGGACGCATTTAGAGGCCTCTATGACGCAGATTTTCCATCAATTTCTGCCGAAAACTTATACGTTCATTTTTTTACCTTCAGCAAAGGCTACTTTCGAATTATTGCATTGAATAGATCAGGAAAATTTTTGAAATTTAACTCTATTTGAATGTATTTTGATGCCTCGGTGACGAAAATTTTAGAAAATGCTAAGTGAATGAAAACGGTGTTTTCAATTTGACTTTACATTAAGAGAGATAATCATCCTAGACGAAGGTCTTTTCCCACCATCCAGGATTTCTGGGGGAGGGGGGCAGATGATACTATTTTCAATTCTGAGTGGAAGGGCAGCCCCCCCCCCCGCCCCCTGCTCATGTAGTTTCACGACAGGCACGTTGAATGAATTGCATTGATGTCCTGTAATACGACGCGACCAGGGATGTCATTAAACAAATGGACATTGATGAATTCAGTCATGTGAATGAAGTTCCGTATAACTGAGGTATGGAAACTGTGTTGAATTAAACTGAAAACTAAACGAATTATCAAATTAATTGGATAATTATGCGCAAGAGTCGACCACAATATTCATCTCGAATTCGACCGTTGTCAGCCGAGAAGACTATTACCAAAACCTCATTGGCACGGTAGTACTCTGAGAAATCTCATCTGAGTTTCCAGTTTGATGTGAATCTTGGCAAAATTAGTTAAAAAGGTCAATCAAGATTTTTTATTCTATTTTTCTTTAGAGGGGTGTCCAAAATCAAACACTAGGGATACACTAGAGGTGTTTCAAATTTTAATATCACACCTTGAAAGTAATAAAAAAATCGTGGTTTTTCCGATTTGTTAGTTTTTGCTGTTTTTCCCGAGGAATTTTAAAAGAAATCTCTAGGCATCACTCCTTCTAATAATCAACTTTAACCGGAGAAGAGATCGCAAAACCCTCCGATCAACTTGGATACCTGAATCTGTTGAGTTGCTCCACTTCGAACTCGCGAATAGCTCAGAGCGAGAATACGAAGTCATATCCAAGAAACGATAGCTGTTTACTTACCTTTCCACCGACCAGCATAAAAAAGTCCGTGGGTGTGTGGGTTAAATACACCTAATATATTTTATGCTGTCGAATCGTATACATAAACCTAAAATTATATTTCCCTGGTAGCAAATGTTGTTAAAACAACTTTTAAACAATTCGTGAATTTTATAGAGACAATTTTTGGGGGCAAAAACTGTCACAAGCTGAGTCAAAAAGTGTTGAAAAACAGAGCTCTTACCATTTTTACATTAGCCTTTCAATACTTGAAATTTTTGAAAATTCTTTTAAAAAAACTCCGTGGTACACCGTGATATATTTTTAAAAGAATTTTTTTCGTAAATTTTATCAGACGTAAATTAAAACCCAATAGGGTTCAGCGAAAAAAAATTTTCTCACAATCTTTAAATAGCTTTTGAAAAGTGATTTTTAAAGGTCAGTGCGACTAGAGTCTCCGTCGAAAAATTAAAAGTGGAATTTATTGGCTATTACGATGCAAAAGAAACGAGAAGTAGGTACTATTTCACAGGGTCGTTTAATTGCCATGCATGGCTCGCTCGTTTTTCATTAGGTAAATAAATGATCAGTTATGCGTGAATAAACAATGAGGATAGCGCTGAGATTTCAAAGTTTTGTGAACAATTAGAGTTTTATACTTTTATGATCTGAAATTTTCTCGGGTGGAGGAAATGGGTAATTTCACCCGAGGCGGGGCTGTAAATTACCCGAATCTAAATATAACAGGATATAATATTTTATGTAGTTTTATTTTGCGCCAATTCCTGCTGCAATTGAGGAGCGTGGAGTTATAAGAGGAGGGAAAGTCGTAAGTCTGTTCTCTGCTGGCATCTAGACACCGTTGTTGCCGTTTCATAGCAGTATTTTCATCACGTTAAGCACCTGTGGATTGAATCTACTGAAAAAATTACTTGCTTCCAGCGTGAAAATTTGAAAAAATCGTAATTCCTAATTTTTCCCTCTCAACGAATTCTTACTTATAAATGAATATCTCTAAATGTGTGATTTGACCCCCTCCTCAAAAACGCTGGGAGATAATGTCAATGGATAGGCATCGCGCTGCGGGAAAGAATGACAAACATTAGGTAGGAAAAAAATGAAAGTAAATAAAAAGGACTCCCCCTTTGAAAATTTTTTTAGTTTTAGTGTTCTCGAAACTAATGATTTGAACTTCAACACAAATCACGGTTGTTGTGTTTTCAATGTGCAATCAAAAGTATAATACGTGTGATTTATTGGCATTTAAGGTTCCTTCCTACTTCTTGCCACCATCTGAACAACCAATCTGGTTGCTTTTTATTTCGCGGGAGAACCAAATTTTTGGAGGTGGCAGAACTTTGTTAGAGACTTTAAAGTATCAGGTTGTTACTTTTTTAAAAGAATCAGTATAGCAGGAAAGCAACGAGGTTGTGCTAGGAGTATTGTGACCAAAAAGGCTGTATAGAGTATTTTATTCGTATCTAATCCAACCGTCCGTCGGCAAAAATTTGAACAATCAATCGACCCATTTCCTCTATCAATATAATTCTTTAACTACGGGCCAGACAGCTTTATCGTTGACATTTTGAGTTCAGTGACAAGAACCCTGAATTCTGAACACAGTGACCGTAAGTTCTCGATTTTAAAGCTTTAGCCGCAAAATCTGGGGTCTCTGTTTTTCCTGTTAGGTGTGGCTAAGTAGAAAACTTAAAAAACTTAAAACTTAACATAGAATACTTAATGCGTATACCTTAACAAAGAAGCAGCCGTATCCTACAGGCCTCATCAGCAGGCACATGAAATGAAGAATGCACAAAAATAACTAATTGTGGGGACGAGACTATGAGGAGAATAAACTGGAAATGTAACAGGTGCATCAGGAAAAAAATATGTTGAATGGAAAATGACAGACAACCTTTAATCAACACTATTGTTTTTGCAGGAAAATCGAATGAGATAAGAAATCAAAGCTTTAAAAAAAGATTTCAACGCCAAAAAAGTATTTATTTCGATTTCTCGCCAATTTTTCGAAATGACCCAGTTGGATGCCAAAAAAAAAAAAAAAAAAAAAAAAAAAAAAAAAAAACGAAATTGAATAAAATTAAAAGGCACTGTGTGTATAGGTTTTGCGTGCCACATAATTCATTTTGATATTAATCATTTCCACGTAATTCCTTTCAGCTTAAATATGTCCACTTTTACTGCAGGGAAATGATAAATTTTATGTATCAAGTATGTAGAATTGGAAAATTTGTGCTATTTTCTTCCTGTCAATATTTTAGCTTACTTTTCATCGAAAGATACGATTCGCGCGACAAAAATTCCTAAAATTAACTAATTGTAAGATGTGAACGTTTTTAGTCTATATTGATTATGGGAATTTTGATCGCGCATTTTGGCTTTTGCAGGCTTTCCTTAATCGATCAGTGTCCCTTCCCCGCCCTATGTGTTTTTCAAAACGTTATAAACGTTCAACAGCTGAGTCGAAGCACCAAGCTTGAGTTTTCCATACTTTTATACCGCAGATACTGCAGTATCCACGGTAACGTTTAGTGCGGGATTGGACTTGCGAAAAATTTTGTTTTTTTCACTAGCGGTTGGTTTAAATTTTCGCCTAGAAAACGTTACATATCTTACTTAGCAGTTGTTTTCAGTAAATTTTGTCGCAAAATTCGTACTTTTCTTGAAATTTTGATGAGGATTTATGTGTAAGAAGGCTTAAATTCGCACATCATCAAGTTTGATATGGAACTACCTTAATAACACACGTTATATTTTCCTTTAAAACATATTTTTTTTTCATCAATTAAAATGAGAATAATCCGTATAGAGTGTGCAAACATTTCAAAATCATGAGTTGAAAAACGCTGACTCCGCGAGATTAAATATTAGAGCCTAACACAAAGCGGAGCGGCGACGCACTGGCGCCTACAAACCTAACAGGGATACTTCACGCATTGCGCAATGCGTGAAGTATCCCTGTTAGGTTTGTAGGCGCCAATGCGCGTTTCGCGCTCTCTGCCCGCCCGCCGCGCCGCAGCCTGCCACGGCGTCTGAAGCAACAATTTCACACCAGAGGTATATTGCACAGTATCATAAGAAATTGAAGGCGCTCCAACATATTAAGAATGACAGGCATCCTTCAAAAGTACGGAGCTTTCCTCGCAAAATAAATCAAGATACTACGGCACAAAAAGAGAGCGGTAGTCCAAAAACTAACTCAGTCCTAGTATCCGTATTTAGTAACGTTTAGCATAAACTTTATCGTCTGGCTGTTG